GACGGACGGACAGACGGACAGGGCCAAATCGACTCAGCTCGTCGCCCTGATCAAGAATATATATACTTTATGGGGTCTGCCACGCCTCCTTTTGCCTGTTACATACAACAAAACCATTATACCCTGAATTCCCATTGAAAATGGGTTCAGGGTATAAAAAAATTATCAGTGGAACACCACAAGAAGATAGTGTGACCCGTTTCACGGACCCAATATTGGGCTTTGGCAAAAGCTCAAAAATGCAAAGGAGCCCTATAGCACAGGCGCCAAGAAGTGTGGAGGAAATTCCAAAAAACGCCACCACGGAATCAGGCGTCCTAAGCGCTACTGCAGAGGCGGTAATCTCACCAAAGCATGAGTACATGTTGAAACTCCGGGCCGAGGAAGAGGATGCCATTCTAAAATGTCGCCAGGCGCTGCGGCGTATAAAAACCGCTGTCGCTAAGCAAAAAAACATCAGTCTGGATGTTAAAAGCGGGGTATCCGACCTAGACGAACTGCTCGATATTCCAGGAACTCCTGGAAGGAGCTGGAAGCTGAAGCAACTAAGCAGAAGCAATTAGAGGGCCCCTTAGCAAAGAGGCTTCGAAACAAAGAGCGGAAAAGACTACTTCGGCACCCGCAGTGAAGCCGAAAGCAGTAGCACAGCCAACAAGAAAAAAGAAGAAAAAACATCCCCGCACAGTGTGGACAAAGCTACGTAGATGTTTTACGAAACATACGCAGCACAATCCAACAGGACGAAAAGGCAAATGTGAGAGGCATAAGGAAAACCCGATCCAGGGCACTCCTTGTAGAACTGAGCAAAGGGGAAAAGTTACAACCGGAGCTGGCTGAAAAACTAAAGGCTACCGTTAAGAAAACAGCTACGGTAGCCGAGTTAAAGCCTACAGCAACAGTGGAGATCCGAGATCTTGACTCACTAACTGTAGAGTCTGAGGTGGCTGAGGCAGTGCGACAAGTCCTTGATAATTCATCAGCGGACTTGCGTATAAAGGTCATTGCATCAAACAGTCGAGAGCAAGTAAGGTCTTTTGTAACTTTAGAAAGCCAATTAGCGGAGACGTTGCTGAGCTAAGTTATTAAAATTGGCTTTGTCAGGGCTAGGCCCAGGATGTGTAAACCCATCCGCAGATGCTACAGATGCTTCGGGGTCGGTCATCTGCAGACCAACTGTACAGGACCGGCCCGAAGTGGTGTTGGCATCTGCATTAAATGTGGTGAATCAGGTCACGAGATGAAAGATGCTGCATTTGTACGGATGCAGGGAGCACTTCTGTTGATCACATGCCACTCGACAAACTACAGCAAAATGTTGAAAATACTCCAAGGTAATCTACACCGGAGCAAAACGGCGGATGCACTTTTGACACAGATAGTAGCAGAACATGCTATTGATGTAGTGATCATCAGTGAGCAATACAAGCGAAAAGAAACCGGTGCCTGGTTAGAGGATGACACTAAGACTGCTGCCATATGGATCCCCAGTAGTAGTGGACAACGGCCACTAGAAAGCAGGATGGGAAACTGCTACGTCTACGCACGCTTCAGAGAAGTCGCAGTAGTCAGTTGCTACCTAACTCCTAGCGGTGACATAATCATTTTCCAGAATAAACTGGATGCAGTCGAGGATCTGCTCGTGGATCGACGGCAGGCGATCTGAATGCACGAGCAGTAGACTGGGGAATATCCTCTACTAACTCTAGAGGACGGAAAATCATGGATATGGCCGATAAGTCCGGGTTAGGGTAGCAAACCGCGGAAGCAGAGCTACCTTTCATAGGCCGGGGTGGCACAATACCGGACGTAACCATTGGATCCGCACACATCGTAGATCGGATAAAGGACTGGAAGATACTCGATGACTTCACGGGCAGTGATCACGAGTATATATTATATATATATATACCAATCAGCAAAACTCTCCACCAGGATCAAGAAAGACTTCCCACAGATGGTACATAAGCAAGGTGGATACACGCAAATTACTAACTGAACTAGATAGACGAGAACGACAGTTCGACAGCACATTGACCTCGAAGCAAGTGGTCCAAAGAAGCCTAACAGCTATGGAAAGAGCGAGTAACGTTTCGATGCCAAAAACCCACAGCAAACACGGAGGTAGACGACATGCGTACTGGTGGAACCACGATATTGCAGAAAAAAGGAAAGTATGCGCACAATGAAGAAGAAGGCAAACAAGGCACGACGCTCTGGAAATGACGGAAGCGTTAGCAGCTAAGATTGCGAGAAAATAACTGTCGATTGCTATCACACGCATTAAGCCTCACAAGTGAAAAGAGCTCTGCAAAGATATAAATAAAGACCTTTGGGGACTTGGCTACAAGATAGTCATGAAGAAGCTGAGAGACTACGGAGCAGTGCCAAGCGTGGATGATGAAACGATGGATCACATAGTGGAAACACTATTTCCAATACACATCCACGAGACGCATGTGCGAACACCCGAAGAGTTCGATTCAGTTCCAAATTTCACCAAGGAAGAACTCAAGATTGCGGCTCTCTCCCTAAAGAATAAGAAAGCGCCGGGATGTATAACGCATGTCTAAAAGAAAGGATATTCCCAGAAGCGTGGAAAGAACAGAGACTGGTGCTCATTAGCAAAGGCAAAGGCTATCGCAACACACCTTCGGCTTATCGTCCATTGTGTATGCTAAACACAGCGGGGAAGCTGTTAGAAAAGCTCATAACACCCAGACTACTCGCCGCAGTAGAGGCCGCTGGGGGACTTAGCCCCAGGCGACACGGGTTCAGAGCTGGAAAATCCACAATGGGAGCTATCGATGAAGTGGTTCAGGCAGCCAGAGCTACGCAAAGAGGAAATGCATACTCGCGCCCAGTGATCCTGCTAGCAACGCTGGACGTTAAAAACGCTTTTAATAGTGTAAAGTGGACCGATATGCTTACTTCCTTGGGGCATAGTTTCCATATTCCGTAGTACCTGATGAATATGATCAGGAGCTATTTGCAGGATCGAATACTCCTGTACTCCACACAGACTGGTACGAAACGGTATGGAGTGACTGGAAGAGCTGCACAGGGGTCAATCCTGGGACCAGACCTGTGGAATATCAGCTACGACGACATCCTAAGACTGGAAATGCTTGAAGACACTTTCCTAATTGGTTATGCCGACGATGTCGCAGCCGCTATTACTGCCAGAAACACCGTAGAGGCCCAAAAGAGACTTACCCAAGTCAAGATCCGCACGCAGACATGGCTCAGCTCTCGAGGATTGGAACTTGCCATCCATAAAACAGAGTTACTTCTGTTCACGGGGAAGCAGATCCCAACCGAAATAGAGATGCGAGTAAGCGGAAGCCGTATAAGGACTCAGAGGACAGTGAACTGCTATCTAGGCCTTAGACTAGACAGTAAACTTACCTTCTGGGAACAGCTGAAGCATGCCACGCGGAAAACAGCGAAAACAACGGGGTCTTTGAGTAGACTGATGGCAAACATTGACGGCCCGATGGCAGGAAAACAAAGACTTCTCATGGAAGCGACAAATGCAATATTGCTATATGGAAGTGAAGTATGGACGGACACCTTAAAGGCGAATGTACGGCGAAAACCGATGTTATCAGTGCAAAAGAGCAGCCTTAAGGATAACATCGGCGTACCGCACAGTCTCCGGTTTGACTTGCTTGCCCAAGAGCGCAAAAACAATATGGAGGAAAAGAGGAGAATTCTCAGAACAGGCGGCAAAGAGAGATAACCATAGTCTCGTGGAAGGCGAGATGGTCATGCGAAAAGTATGGCAGATGGACCGCTAGAATAATCCCCGATCTAGAGAAGTGGATAAATAGAAAACACGGTGAAACGTCGTTCTATTTGACACAACTACTGTCCGGACATGGATACTTTCGAAAGTATCTAAATAAGATGGGGAAAACTGCTGAATCCAGCTGTATTTACTGCGAAAATGCAATGGACGATGCGGAACACACTTTCTTCAACTGCAACAGGTGGTCGGAAGAATGAATCAACCTGGCAGAAACAGTCGGTGAAGTCAAAGTAGAGACATTAGTACAGCAAATGTGCAGTAGCATAGATGCTTGGAAAAAAGTCTATGACTTCGCCGAAAAGATTCTTCGGCGGAAGAAGTATGACCTGGACGCAGGCACACAGAGGGCAACGCTCAATATATTATTAATGCGGGATAACTTCTGGTTCCAAGGAGGTTTCGAGCCCCAGAAGAGGAGGATTTTTTAGTCGGTAAGCAGTCATGCAGTCCGACACACCGGTCAGAGTGACGACCTTCTGACGGTGCATAAAGCATTTTTTCCTACCTTAACCCACACAGCTGACGTGTAAAATTTCAACGTTCGAGAGTGAAACTCTTCGAGATACAGTTTTATCAGATTTGCCACGCTCTCAATGGGCGGAGATCCGCCATAGCTCGTGATCTAGGGTGGTCGACGCGGATCATATAGATCCAAATTTCAGCTTTCTAACTTTTCAATTAATATGATTTTTGGCATATCGGAAAATGCATTTGCCACGCCCCTAGTGGGCGGATCGGGAAAATTTTAACACTTTATAAATTGGAGATATACACGAGTATGTATTCTAAATTTCAGTCTCTAACTTCAATAGCGCCGAAATAGATGGCGTTCATACGGACAGACGGACGGACAGCAAGACGGACATTGCACAAAACCAATATACTAATTCACTTTCGCGAATGAGTATAAAAACCGAAATTCTATAAAATGCACAGGAATCTATATTGAAGACTCCAGCTCTAAAGACGTAATAGATATTATTTTAGTTTTCTATATAAGGGCATGCCTCCATCTACCCATTACATACATTTCAAGACTACCATTATATCTTGATTTCCCGTATTAAATGGGCTCAGTTCCTTTTCCCTTAAGGTATTTTTATTGTCGCTTTCAAAATACGGACAGACGGTCGGGCAAACATATATAATAGTACGAAAAAGGTTTAAATACAATAATGTATCTTATACATACCTAAATAATAATTTACTTGGTTGGAAAGCAACTATTGTCAGACACATTAGAAGCCACAAACGGTCCGTCCACTCCAAATTGGGATTATTTGTTGTTTGTCGCATGCATTGCACAAAAATTTCATCTCTCAATTCTTCTCTTTCAATACCCAAGCCGATGATATATTGAATGCTTTGCAGCTCACGTTCCGCATTTTGTTCACCACGCATATATTTAGAAAGTTCCTAAAGATAAGGACAATAATTTTATTAAAATATTAAATGATTATATAATTTATATATGTGTATATATAAAAGAAAGTTGTGTAAAAGTGCTCCAGCACTTATAACTCGAGATCTGCTGGACCAATTTTCATGGTTTTTGATTTGTTGGATTTGTCTCCGCCACGAGTAGGATAGTAGATCTTAAAAATACTGAAAAAATAAAAATACTTGAAAAACCCGTTTTTTTCCCTAAAATTTCAAATTTCCATTGATACTCAGCAGGCTTGATAACAGTGATTATAAAATAGTATAGAAGTAAATAAACAAATGTAGTCAATCAGTCAGCCTCATGCGGACCTGACTATTTTATCAAAAAAAAAAAAAAAAAAAAAAAAAAAAAAAGCATTCTAGTTTTACAACTTTAGGAGATACAGTTTTATCCGATTTGCCACGCCCCCAATGGGCGTAGATATATCCGCCATAGCTCGTGATCTTGGGTGGTCAACGCGGACCTACATACCAAATTTCAGCTTTCTAGCTCTTTAACTAACATGATTTCTGGTATATCGAAAAATGCATTTTCCGATTTGCCACGCCCCTAGTGGGCGGGTCGGGAAAATTTTAACACTTTATAAATCGGAGATATACACGAGTATGTGTTCCAAATTTCAAGTCTCTAGCTTCAATAGCGCCGAAATAGATTGCGTTCATACGGACAGACGGACAGACGGACGGACAGCAAGACGGACATTGCACAAACCCAATATACTGATTCACTTTCGTGAATGAGTATAAAAAGAAAGAAGGGCCTTAATTCGTGCTTCTCAAAGAGAGGCAGCCCGTGAAACGGCAATAAGAAATGGTTCAAGGATTGATTTGAATCGAGCAGCGTTTCGATATGATTGCACCATTGACTACAGCTTGAATCGTTTAGTTTGCATTGGTCCAATGGACGTTGCTTTCCAGCATTGTGGCGCATTCAAGTTTGCTGGTGAAACGCCCGGTTTGTGCTGCCTTAGTGGTAAAGTGACATTGGTCCCGCCACCAGAGCCATGGCGTTCCCTGCTTTATTGCCTATTTCCAAATGACTTCATTTGGGGCGGAAATTATTGGAGACGGATATAATCCGACATTTAAGGTAATTTACGTTAAAAATTTTATTTTCTATGATTGTAAAAAAAAAAAATTAGATTTCTGTAAAAAGTGTTTGTAAATCTAACTATAACTATGGCTTTGAATTTAAAGATTCAAGGCCAGATTTGCCATCGCATTGGATCATTGCAACCTATTGAAGATGCACAGCACAAATTCTTGCAAATATACTTCATGGGCAATATGGAAGAACAACTTGACCGGCGTCAAGAAATCAACATAGCTATGAAAAGAGCAGTTCTCCAAGATTTGCAGCAAATGCTTCACAAACATCATGCATTGGTCAAGCTGTTCAAGACTGCTTTAGAGCGCATGCCAAGAGATGACTATAAAGTAATAATCAGAGCAGATAAAAGACCAGCTGGAACACATGAACGCACATTTAATGCTCCTACAATCGATGAAGTGGCAATCCTAATTGTTGGTGAAAGCTTTTTACACGACGCAGTACTGGGCAACTACAAAGAATATCTGAAACGCACCATTCATATGACGCTTTACAATACCCGCTGATGTTTTGGCAAGGAGACGATCAACAAATCACAGGGCCAATCTTTGACTATTTGTGGCCTCAATCTAGAAAATGCGTGTTTTTCTCATGGTTAATTGTACGTGGCATGCTCATGTGTTGGCAAACCATCCGCAGTATTTGTTCTTGCACCTGACCAAAAAACGAAGAATGTCCTTTACCACAAGGTGCTTGAATGAAAATCCGATTAATAAATTAATCAGAGTGTATCCCAACCTGAACAACATAGCTTTCAACAATTTTTTACCTAGAAATAATGCATAGGGCAATGCAACGTTTGCCGGGCCAGCTAGTTACAAATAAATAAGAAAGCTCGAATCGAGACTGCTCGACTATGAAATCAACAAGAAACACCACATGCACACACACATACATACATATGCACATAGGCACACATAGGAACTTAATTGATTAATACAATTTTTTGTAGATGAATTACCTTCATAATTGTATCTTAATGATTGTACCTTAATTCTCATCCACATATCTATAATACCGGACAAAATGATGACAAACAGCCTCCACGATCGGCCCCACTCAATAAGCAGCCGACCTGCTTAAATGAAATCTTCGACCTACCTTGGACTGTGAAAAAACTTACAATTTTGGAAATGTTTGCTTCTGGTCTGTCAGGTGCTAGGACCTCAGTAAGCAGCAGTGCTATTTTTCGAAAAGGACTCCCTGGCTAATGCTGAAATGTCGCCAAGCGCTGCGTTGTATAAAAACCGCTGTCGCTAAGCAAAACAAGTAAGAACGTTGCAGTCAAGCTTTGCAAACTGCAGAATACTCATTCACATCCCATCAGCACATTCACTACTCATTCACATCTAATACTGTAGAGAATTCCGTTTTTCCGGTTTGCCATATAAATTTTGATAAAATTAGAAAAATATTTAAAAATTTTCCTAGGTAATCTACACTGGAGGAAAACTGCAGATACACTTTTGACACATATCGTAGCGGAATACGCTATCAATGTAGTGATCATCAGTGAGAAATACAAGCGAAAAGAAACCAGAGTGGTTAGAGGACGAAAGATGGCAACAACTATAGGAAGAGCGTGCAGCGTTTCGAAACGAAAAACGCTTAGTAAACACGGAGGTAGAGGACAGGCGTACTTGTGGAACTACGATACGATGCCCAGAGTGTAAAAAAGCACTAAAAAGAGCACGACGCTCTGCAAAATTTCACGACGAAAGCGGGGCAGATACTGAAGGTGATAGAACCAGGACGGCTTATTTTTCTACTCTAAAAGAAAGGTTATTCCCAGAAGCATGGAAAGAGCAGACTCTGGTGCTCATTAGGAAACTCAAAGGCGGTCCCAACACACCTTCGAGTTACCGCCCATTCTGTATGCTGAACACAGCTGGCAAGCTGTTAGAAAAGGTCCTAAAACCCAGACTAGTCGCTGCAGTAGAAACCGCTTAGTCCCAGACAACACGGTTTCAGAGCTGGAAAATCCACAATGGGAGCTATCGATGAAGTGGTTCCGGCAACCAGAGCTAGGCAAAGAGGAATAACATACTCGCGCCCGATGGGTAGCGATATATGGACGCACATCTTAAATGCAGAAGTAATAAGGTGAAACCCCATGTTATCTGTGCAGAGAAAAGAAGCCTTAAGGATAACATCGGCGTACCGCATAGTCTTTGGAGCTGCCGTGACCGTGATAGCAGGAGTCATACTGGTTGACTTGCTTGCCCAAAAGCGCAAGAAAATATGGATTCTCCGGCAAAGTGGAGAATTCTCGGAACATACGGCAAAGAGCATACAACAGAAAACCATAGCCTCTTGGAAGTCTAGATGATCATGCAAATGATATGGAAGATGGACTGCAAAAGTTATCCCCGATCTAGAGCAGTAGATATATAGAAAGCAGATGAAAAGTCTTTCTATTGAGTACCTAAATAAGATGGGAAAACTGCTGAGTCTAACTGTATTTACTGCGAAAAAGCAATGGTCACGCAGAACACAGTTTCTTGAACTGCAAAAGGTAGTATGAAGATAGTATCGACTTGACAAAAACTGTCGGTGAAGTCAAAGCATAGATACTTGCAAAGAAAGATTTGTATCTTCCAAAATGTATAATGTTGTGATGACTCAATTTTTAAAGCAGATATATTTCTAGGGATTGACGTGGCAAATGCGAAAATGCATTTTCAGATACCACCTAAGATCAGAGAGCTATGGCGGATATATTTACGCGCATAAGGGGCGTGGCAAATCGGCTAGAACATTGAAATTTTTCACATGACCTAATGTTACGATTATATAAAGATTGATGATAAATTATATGTCTATGCCCACTAGGTTCAGGGGATCCCGTAGTCGAGTTGTCTCAACTTCAGCTTTCTTACTTCTTAATCCATATTATTATTATTATACCCTGAACCCATTTTCAATGGGAAGGGTATAATGGTGTTGTTGAAATTTATGTAACAGGCAGGAGGCGTGGCAGACCCCACAAAGTATATATATTCTTGATCAGGGCGACGAGCTGAGTCGATATAGCCCCGTCTGTCCGTATGTCGATTTCCGAAGATATAAGAGCTAGACTTCAATTTTTTTTTTTTTTTTTAAATGACCGTATATACAGCGCGGGCGTCGAGTTTGCTTTTAAAATTCGATAAATTATCCCGTTATGTTTTTATCGAGTAAAAACATTCAAGTTCAAGTCAGATGCCACTATAGCTAATTGTGAATGATTTCTCATTTTTTTAAATTTCTCAAATATTCAATATAATATGTAGATCATATGCTGATAGTTTCATTAAATTCCGTTCAGTCAAAAATTAATAAAAAATAATCAAATATTTGGCCAATTAACAAACGCACGTGCAGCAGCTACAACAGCATCGTATGCGTGTGCTTCATTCAAACTTCTTCTAGAAACATTCGTTGAATCACATCAGCTGTTAGTTTCGTTTAGTTTTGGTAGATGGCGCTGCAGCAGTGAATCTATTTGAGTTTTGCCAGCGCCACTTACAGAAGTGAGGTGGCGTAGTGTGTTAGCTGCATGACGCTTGATCGAGAAGTCGCGGTTCGAATCCCGATCGGTGCAGCTGATGTTATTTTTTTAAATTGTTTCAAAATATTTTTAGATTGTATTTTCATAAATGAGTTTTCTATTTAATTTATATTTTTAAATACACCGAAATTTTAACCATACTTAATGTGCGTTTTTAATAGTTTGGTTATTCGAGCAGATTTTTAGAATCACATCAGCAGTTAGTTTCGTTTAGTTTTGGTAGATGACGCTGCAGCAGTGAATCTATTTGAGTTTTGCCAGCATCACTTGGCGAAGTGAGGTGGCGTAGTGTGTTAGCTGCATGATGATCGATCGAGAAGTCGCGTTTCGAATCCCGATCGGTGCAACTGATGTTAACATTTTTAATTGTTTCAAAATATTTTTATATTTTATTAAATGAATTTGGTATTTCATTTATATTATTATATATTTATATTTTTAAATACATCGAAATTGAAATTTCAGACATACTAAATGGGCATTTTTATTTGTTGGGTTCAGGGTAGTATCTAGTCGAGCACTCTCGACTAGAGTTTTCTTACTTGTATAAAAATGTAATTAGTCAAAATATATTGTTATTGCTTCTTATAAATAAAATAATTAAAATTAAGGAAACTGCTCATGGCTTATGCAAGTAAGAATATCGGCGTAACCTAATTAGTTTTTGAGCACTGAAATACTGATTACCTCATCTTCTGACCTTAACAAATGTTGTGTACGGCCCATAACATGAATTACTGTAAAGTCTCTCTTAATGACAATGATTAATATTTAATTTATGGGGATATCTTCAAAAATTTGTATTTCGATTTAATGTAACAGTTTTGATAAGGCGATCGTGACCGAATGCAAAGCATTTATTAGTGAATATACTTACTCGAAATATATTACAAGATAGAGAAATGTTTTCAGGATCATACATGTGTATATGTGATGTTGCAATTTTTTCAGATCTAGTAAATGTAATCATTTCATGTTTTGGCACGAGATCCATAGCTTTCTTGCCTTTTCTAGTTATTGTGGAAATTAAAGTTCCATCTACGAAACGTTCGTGAGCATTAAAAAAATGTTCGGCAAAATTCAAAATATTATAGCGTGAGTCATTGTTGTAGACCTCATTTTGAATTTCATTTTGATGCATTTCTAGTAGTTTTTTTTCAACTCTGAACTTTCTTCTTTGTTCACGTTCATTTTCTACAAGTGTTGGTGATACTGTCAGTTTTATCCCGTTTTCTTTTTCTCGTGTGGATAAAGGTAAAGCTATATTTATATCTGAAGTATGTTTGCTTTCATTTGAATGTGTCAGTGCTTCATATATGGGTTCCGGTTTCAAATTTCGAGATCTAGTTTCGATGCTATTTATTGGAGGTGGAGGTGGAGCCATTAAAGGTTCAGGAAGTGATGAAGTTGGTAATATATTCTTCTTTTGATCGTCTAAGTAATTTAATGGTTCCTTTTGCATGCAAGTTTCAATCTAAAAGAAAATGAATTTATTAATAATGTTTTGGTATGTTATCTATTAACTTTTTTGTATACTCTGAACCCATTGAAAAAAAGGAAATCATAATAGTTATGTGAAAATGTATGTAACAAGCAGAAGGAGGCATGGTGAACGAACTGAATCGATATAACCATGTCCGTCTATCAATCCGTCCGTCCGTATGACCGCCGAGATTTCAGAAGATATAAGAGATAGAGAGCTAAAATTTTGTATGTATACCATACGTTTTAAAATAATTCGAATACTACTAGACCTAGAGACTTTACCCACAATTTCTAAATTTGTATTTTAAGTATTTGAAACTTCTGCTTTGAAATATACAAACATTTGAATATTATCAGCATGTTCTGAAAGTTGAATGGAAATAGTCCCATAATTAACAAATATATTTCATAATACATAATCGCTACTAGCTGCGTGTTTATAATATACAGTATCAATAGAATATCTGTTCCTAGTCGAGCAACCTCTACTAGAGCCCTTTTACTTGTTATGCTGTAGCCACCATTTATTGAGAGGTTTTGGCAATTTAATTTTTTCCCATGTCATAACTGACAATTCTTAAGAATTTATTATACTCTCCAGAGAGCGTTCTCAGTGAGAGTTAACAGACGTGTTTACTTTGTGCTCTGCAAATTTGCTTGTTTTACCAATTAAGTACTTTTATTAAAGATTCACATAATTGCGGTCGGTTGATATTTGCAAATATCTAAATATCCCTGTTGATCCGTGGTTCTGTGTGTTTAATAATTGCTTTTTATACCCTGAACCCATTGAAAATGGGAAATAATGGGTATAATTATTTGAATGGTTTATAAGGTATAATGGTTTTGTTGAAATGTATGTCACAGGCAGAAGGGTGACGAGCTGAGTCGATTTGGCCCTAACCGTCTGTCTGTCCGTCCGTCTGTCCGTATGTATGAACGCGTCGATTTTAGAGATTAAAATTTTTTTTGAAATGTCCGTATTTATCGCATATCGAGTTAATCATTAAAAATCGATTACTCATCCCGATATTTTATTTATCGATATTATATAATATATATATATGTGTGTGTATAATGTGTGTGTGTATATAATGTGTGTGTTTTCTTTTTATTCCCTGAACCCATTGAAAATGGGAAATCAGGGTATAATGGTTTTGTTAAAAGCACATAACAGGCAGAAGGAGGCGTGGCAGACCCCACAAACTATATATATTCTTGATCAGGGCGACGAGCTAAGTCGATTTGGTCCTGTCCGTCTGTCTGTCCGTCCGTCCGTCCGTCCGTATGTATGAACGCGTCGATCTCAGAAGATATAAGAGCTAGAGACTTGACTTTTTTCCTAGGTCCGTGTATATCCTGCGCATATCAAGTTTTTCTTTATATATCGATAACTACTCTCGATATTTTATTATCACTCAAAAACCTTATCGAAAGCTAGTTATTTAATTATATCTCCTACACCTTTAGAGCTAGAGCTTGCAAATTTTAAATGTAGACTTAAATGTACTTTATATAATTTCGGCTTTTGGTTGTAGTTTACCCCCCACCCCTATATCCACCCTCATCCTCACCTTTGTAAAAGGCTTATTTCAAGTACTAGAGACTTGTGCTTTGGAATGCACATACTTTTTCACCATATGATTACGCCCTGAAAGTTTCATTAAGATTGTACGTCTAAAAATTAAATTATTCAACAAATAAATTCTTATAATGTTGCCCACACTGCAGCGCAGCCCAAGCGCAGTCGCTCTTTACTGCGCAGTTAGCAGAGCGCGTTCTACTACGTGCGTGTGTATGTATGTGTGTCGAAAAGAAGTGCATACTGATTAGAATATCAGATTAGAGGGTTCAGGGTATCTCCTAGTCGAGCAGTCTCGACTAGAGTCTTCTTACTTGTTTTTATATTCATTTATTGACAAAATTATATAACAAATTGCAAGTTGCGTGGTGGCTAGGATAGCGCGCGGTGCTTGCGGGACGGCCGTAAAGCATTGCTTCGCAAGCACTATGCGCTACCTTAGCCTGGTACAGCTCGTCTTCTTATTCGCTCGCGGAGCTCCATCATCACTGTGGCCGCGAAGGTGCTTGTTAGTTCCCAAGCTTCCTCCGATTCCAGCATGGTATTGACTATGTTGTCCGCTCTGATGGAGCGGCCCACTGCCTCTTCCAGACGACGCCTCTCCTCCAGGAACCGTCCACATTCGAAAAGAATGTGGTTGACGTCTTCCACATGCCCTCGCTCGCACCAGGGGCACTCGTCAGATTCCTCGTGGCCAAAGCGCTTCAAATAGCTCCGAAAACATCCATGGCCCGAGAGGATCTGAGAAAGATAGAAGTTAACCTCGCCGTGTTTGCGGTTAACCCATGGTTCGAACTCCGGGATGAGAGTATGTGTCCACCGCCTTTTAGTTGAGCTGCTCCACCTTCTTTGCCATCGTGCAATGCTGTTCGCTCTGATATCGTTGCGTCGTAGAGGCTCGTGTGCATTCCGTTCCACGGCTTCGGCGACTAAGTCCTCCAGAGGCACCATACCGGCTATGACGAGCGCCGCGTAGTCAGAGACTGTTCTGAACGAGCAGCAAACTCTGATTGCGCTCTGTCTGTAGATCGTGCAAATGTCCCGGCTGTAGCTCGGCGTTGCCATCGCTCTTGACCATATCGGCGCAGCATAGAGGATGACAGGCCTAATGACGCCGTTGCTGTTTAGGTCCCCGCGTGTTAAGCATAATTCTTGAGAGAGCTCTACAAGAATCAGTTGCCTTTTTATGCACATATTCTAAGTGCTCGCGGAAAGTTAATCTTGTGTCTAACATGACGCCAAGATACTTAATCGCTCTCTTTGACGGGATGCTGACGCTGCCTATCCTTATATTGCTTACTAGGACGACTTCCGTCTTGTGCGCCGCAAGCTCGAGCCCAGCTGCTGTCAACCAGCTTCGTATGCGATTGATACTTTCACTGCACATATCCTCTGTATCTTTGAGCTCCTTGCCTATGGCGACGACAGCCACATCACCAGCAAAGCCAATGGTGTGCGTACCTGCTGGTACTTTCAAGCGCATTACGCCGTCGTACATGATAATCCATAGGAGAGGCCTCAGCACTGAGCCTTGGGGTACTCCAGCTGACATGATTTGGTGATAGGCCTCCGGTGCTAGCAATAGCAGTCTCCAGTCTAGAGCAGATCAATTTCTCAAACATCTTTCCTATGGTGTCTCAGAGGCAGGTCGGTCTGTATGAAGATGGTTCGTCTGGTGGTTTGCCAGCCTTGGGTAACAATACCAGGTTCTGAGTCTTCCATTTTGCAGGGAACGTCTCTTGTAGTAAGCATTCGTTGAATAATTCGGCGAACGTACTAGGGTGCAAGGCGAGGGCTAAGACCTTTTGCAGACTCGGACTCCGGGGCTTGAATGGAGCTTAATCTTTCTGGAAAGAGCGTTTCCACCATCGATTTAAGCTCCAGACGATCCGTCGGATGCACCTGTTTACCTGCGTATAGTCTTTTAACTATTGCCCAGCCCCAAGGGTCATATTCGGCTGAGTCGCAAAACTCTAGAAAGCATTCTCTTTTGCTTGCCCGAATGGCCTTCTTCAACTGTCTTCTAGCTGCCTGGTAAGCTAATTGTTTTTCGAAAAACGTAGACCTACCCCGAGCCCGTTGATAGCTTTTTCTCGCCTGGATGCATTTACGACGAATGTCACTTATTTGTGCACCAATACGTAGGCTCTTGTTGTTGCGTTGTGAAATCACTGAGCTGCATGCTGGGGGCCAGGTAGCAGCTGTAGAGCCATAGGCTACCGTATTGGCCACTTACGAACCCATTAAATGACTTAACATTCGAAAGAACATTTGCCATTAGCATCTGTTGCCCATGTCCTAGGGCAGCTGGTTCTATAGTGGTGAGGCTCACTGAGAAATGCTACGTCTATACGTTTTTCCCTAATGGTCTGCTTTAGAAGATCTTGGGCAGGAACACAATGATTTAAGTTAAGCTGAAGGAACCTTAACATTTCATTTTACGAGCAGCCTCACGGTAGGATGGGCACTTGAAGCTGCCTGCTGAGTGGTCCGTCTGCTTTTCACCTTTCCGGATGCAGAGGCTACATTTTGGTGGCTAGTCCATGCTCTTGCACTCTCCACACCTGAAACAGGCGCCCTGTAGGTCACAGTCGCTTCCGCAGTTTGCTGCCATATGACCGTAATCAAGGCACTTGAAACAGCGTATAGGCTGATCCATGGCGCGGATACGGCATACAACCCATTAAATTCTTATTTTGGACAGGTCGAGCAGAGTTTTGGCTTTTCTAATTGGAAGAGCAACTGTAGCTCTTTGCTGTCCACCAAAAGCTGGTCGAAGCGACTTGATAGCCTCAATGGGGAGTGAGCTAGCCTTCAACTCCGCCCTAATTGACTCCAAAATCTCCTCTTGCTCGCTAACGCTAAGTGTTTTAACTACCGCTCGGTCACCCAAGGCCTTGCCTACAGCTTCGTGAAGGGCCTCAGCACTATGCTCCGGCTTTCTGGTCAGTTGCAACAAAAGGTCCAGCTTAGCTGTCTTCCTAATGCCTTGAACGGTCTTGGTCTTGACTACACGAAGCATGTCCGCATAGCTGCAACCACCCACGCCTGAAATCGCGATTGCGCCACTTCTGGGTCGTTTTTGCATAGGCTTGCGCCCTTTAACGACTGTCCAGCTGTTCGGGTTGCCTGTCGACCTGCCTGATTTGAATTTTCAGCTGTAGCCCGTAGAGCCATTGGTTCTTTAGGGTTCGCTGCGCCTTTATAGGGCCTCGGCTTTTTTCAGGGTGTTTTTCTCTGATTGGTGGCAACTTCCCTCGACCGCTTGGGCGTATTGCTACCTGAGATCGCGCTAGTGCTCGCATTCTCCACTACTTTCTTGAGCGGCATGGTCTGTAGCTCGCAGTTTTTAACCGGTCGGTTGCAGAGCTTTTCGGCCGTCTTATGGAGATTGACCAGCCTAGCCAGCTCCTCATTCATTAGGGCATTAATATGCCGCTGACCCCCAAATAAGGCAGTCAAACCCTCTAGAGTAACTCCTATTTGGGCTAACGCTTCTTTTAGTGAGTTGGGTGCCTGACACTCAGCCACTGGGGACTGATTAAAGGTCGACGGCTGCGGCAGCGCCCTCTGTTGTTGCTGCGGTGATCACTGCAACGAGGAACGACGCGCGAAAGCTTGCAGCTCGTCCTCCATCCTGGCATCCATTTTTTGCTCCGACTACAACGACGTGAAGCCTGTAGTGGGCAATGGCTACTAATTTAATTTGAGTTTACAGACCGCAGTATCTTAAACTCAGCTTAACTACAGCAAGAGCCCGAAAGTATGCACTACTTTTAGTAACTGCGTCTTCACTCCAGATGTTAGGTTGCTGTTTTTGCTAAGACTTAGCAACTCACCAAAGTTAGTGAGCAGCTGGTTCTCCGCTGCAATTTCCAGTTAGAGTGAATGCACCCGATTTTTATTAATTGCACAAGTGTGACGCCTAGAGTGTGTGTGTGTCCCTCGGCTTTTCATCGTTCGACTCGCTGGTCCGATTTGCTTGGAAAACAGGTAAACTTTTTTAAAATGTATAGTGTTGTGACGGCTCCATTTTTAAAAGTGAAGATTTCTAAACAGATGACATGGCTGCTGCTGAAGAGATTTTAAATCAGTATAGCTTTGAAAGTCCTCTCCCTCAATTGGAGACTCCTTTGTTGTTGGTAACTCCTTCCGTAATAACAACGTCACCTAATTCGCTTGCTCCTCCCTCACTTTGTGCTTCTGTATTATCATCAGCTCCCAATTGCCAATATTTAACAACTATATGTGATCTTAAATTCTGGCCACCTCATGTATGTAGTTGTGCATGAATTCAAACCTAAGAGTCGTAACAAATCGACTCCTTTTCCGAAAATTAACCTTCGGTGCAATCATCATCGAAAGTTATACCAAACAAGTAAGAAAGCTCTAGTCGAGACTACTCGACTACGAGATCCCCTGAACCCTTGGAGTAATAGCTATTTCACACACACACACACTCACACACACACACACACACACAGGCATACATACACACACATACATACACACACACACACACACACACACACACATACACAAACATTTACATACATATACACACACAAGCATAAACACGCATGGGCGGCAGTGAGCGCTTACTATGAGAACTTAATTGCTTAATAACTTTTTTTGTGACGTACGATCTTCATGAAACTTTCGATTATAACATGAATATGCATATAATTGCCAAAGCACAAGTCTCTAGTATTTGAAATACGCTTTTTACAAAAGTGAGGGTGAGGGGAATTTTAACAAAAACCGAAATTGTATAAATTGCATATAAGCACACATGAAAAATTTGGAGACTCTAGCAAAAAAAGGTGTAGAAGATATAATTTTATAACTGGTTTTCGATAAGGTTTTTTATCGATAAAAAAAGATCGGGATGAGTTATCGATTTTTAATGATAAACTTGATATGAGCGCTGTAATTCGGACATTTAAAAAAAAATTTGAAGTCTCTAGCTCTTATATCTTCGGAAATCAACGGTTCATACATACGGACAGACGGACGGACGGACAGACAGACGGACAGGGCCAAATCAACTCAGCTCGTCGCCCTGATCAAGAATATATATACTTTGTGGGTCTGCCACGCCTCCTTCTGCCTGTTACATACATTTCAACAAAACCATTATACCCTGATTTCCCATTGAAAATGGGTTCAGGGTATAAAAATATATTCTTGCATAGTTTTAGTTTACAATATGATATTAAGTATTAATATTCATAACAGTGGGGTGTTAATTGCTGTTAAATCCACTAGGATAGTGAATTATTTACCTTTTCGTCCCTTCATGCTCTTATAGCCCTTCCTCTTCTGATGTGTAAGTTTATGCTCAATATACAACTTCTATTAAAGAAATTTATGAGCATGTAAATGATAGACTTGCTTCTTGTGTTGGGTGATTTTAATATTCCTAACACTTCTTGGTCATCAACTAGTAATGCAAATTACTTTATTCCGAAAATTTATCACTATTTCTTTTATGAATTGTTTAAACTATCTATGTTTCAGATGAACTCTATTTCTTAACACCTGAATCGCACACTAGATCTTGTGTTCATAACTTATTATCGATGAGATCGATATTTGTAAATAAGCTCGACGGACGGACGGACAGACGGACAGGGCTAAATCGAGTCAGCTCGTCACCCTGATCAAGAATATATATATTTTATGGGGTCTGTCACGCCTCCTTCTGTCCACGATACCTTAATTTCCCATTTTAAATTTCTTTAGGATATAAAAAGCGTTGAGGGTTCATTATAGTTACTTACTTCGCCATCAAGATCCTGTACCAAACTACTCATAGTGTCATTAATTTCTTCAATTACTGAATTAGTTGGCACGGTTGTTCCATCTGTCAAGAATGCAAACAAATTATCTAAATCCACCGTATCTATGTTTTGCGCAGATCCATCTTCAGTAGAATTATTTTCAGAAACCGTGTTTTTGTCTATTGATTTTCCTATACTATTATTCATGTGTTCCGCCATATTAGTAAGCACTTTCATTTCTGTTTGTACTAATCTGAAAGGAAATTCAATAAGTTAAAATATTGTTACTGCGTAAAATATATTTTTATATAGTATCTGTGTTAATAATGAATGTACCATACCGTTTCCTACTACATATCACTAAATACTAGTACGAAACGAAACAAGTAAGAAAACTCTAGTCGAGAGTGCTCGACTACATACTACCCTGAACCCAACTAATAAAAATTCCCATTTAGTATGGTTAAAATTTCAATTTCGGTGTATTTAAAAATATAAATTAAATAGAAAACTCATTTATCAAAATACAATAATATATTTGGAAACAATTAAAAAAATTAACATCAGTTGCACCGATCGGGGTTCGAACCGCGACATCTCGATCAAGCGTCGCGCCGCTACTCACTACGCAACCTCACTTTTCGAAACATGGTTGGCAACACTAAAATAAATTCACTGTTGCAGCGCCATCTAGCAAAACTAAACCAAACTAACTGCTGATGTGTTTCTAAGAATCTGCTCGAATAACCAAACTAATAAAAACGCATATTTATTATGGTTTACATTTCGATGTATTTAAAAATTTAAATGAATTAGAGAACTCATTTAATTAAATATATAAATATTTTGAAACAATTAAAAAAGTTAACTTCAGCTGCGCCGCTCTGGATTCGAGCTCGCGACTTATCGATCGAGCGTCACGTCGTAACTCACTGCGCCACCTCACTTTTAGAAGCAGCATTGGCAACACTGAAATAGATTCACTGCCACAGCGCCATCTAGCAAAACTTAACCAAACTTACTGCAGATGTGATTCTAAGAATGTGCAAGAAGTTTGAATGTATGTGTGCACAGGTTTATGATAACTGTTGTAGCTGCTACACGTGCGTATGTTAATTAACCAACCATTTTCTTATTTTTAAACGTCGATTGACTTAACGGAATTTAATTAAACTTTCAGCATATGATCCACATTCTATTGAATATTTAACAAAAAAATTAAAAATTATTCACAATTACAATTAGCTATACTGGCATATGATTTGAACTTGAATGTTTTTACTCGATGAAAAAATAAAGGGATGATTTATCGAAATTCAAAAGCAAACTCGACATCCGCGCTGTATATAGGGTCGCTGGTATAGGGTCTTATATCTTCTGAAATCGACACGTTCAAACATACTGACAGACGGACAGGGTTAACTCAACTAAATCAGCTCATCGTCCTGATCAAGAATATATATACTTTATGGGGTCTGCCACGCCTCCTTCTGCCTGTTACATACTTTTAACAAAACTATTATACCCTGATTTCCCATTTTCAATGGGTTCAGGGTATAAAAACAAAATTTGATTAGTTGCATATATTAATTTTTTGTAGTATTTTTAGTTCATATATCGGTAATCATTTTATTTTATGAACAATAGGATCATATGATGTTTCCATCATATCCATACATTTTAATACCATTAAACTTAAAATTCGGTTTAATTTCGCTATTATCTTCCTTATGTAAGTTGCCTCTTTTGCAGCATCAAAAGCGCTTCGCATCGGTAATAATCAGCGCAACTGATTTTTGATTCTTCGACGTCCATGCAAACGTCATAGACTGGCGCTGAATCTGCTGTGATATGCAGTTTGATTAGAAGGCCATCCGGCTTAGTGTTTTAAGGCTAAACAGCTTGCTTCAGGCCGTACAGCGAACTTTTAAGCTTCAATACATATTCATAACAATCATCGTAGAGCTCTGGTCGCAGAATACCGTATAGCTATGTTGTCATGATTTACATAAAGCGGTGCCATAGCCTGGATCATACGTACTACAGCATCACGCACTACTGGAGAATACATTTCTTGGAAGTATATGCCTATGGCTGGTTTCGTCTTTATAGTGAACTTCAAGCCCGTTCTGATTATTTAAGGCCTACCTGGCAATTTCCTTGCCTTTTCAGCTGCGTCAGTTTTTTACGCTCTGTTCATGAAAAATTGCATACACATTCACTCTCGCTCTCACTATTAGACTTCGATTCTTCTCGTTTCTGTTTTCTCTTGAGTGCATTGAGTTGAGCTATTCGAGTGACGTTCTACGAGAATCGTGAGCGAGCGATACGATTGACGTTCGTACAATGAGACTCAGTAAGTAAGAGAATGACTTAAAAACTCAAACGGTTTTCTTGCCTTATAGATTAAAATGAATAAAATTTTTTCAAGCAACTATTTACAACTAAACTACATATATAGTTTGCTGTTTTATTTGTCTGATTACACAAAATCTATAAATATATATAATATTTATTATATAGGGGTTTTCGATTGGCGGGGGTCGATTTTGACGCCCCGTGGCAGCCACTTTGTTTTGGTGACATCTGTCAAATCTTTTGTTTGCATAGTGAAGCCGTTAACGGTATGTAAAATCATATGAGTTTGCTATTCTCGGGATTCCGCGACTGTTGTAATTCCACAAGAATATTGCATCAGCCGTTTGGGGTTTTGAGAAACAGACATCAGCATGTATGTAACAGCCAGAAGGAGGTGTGGCAGACCCAACAAAGTATATATATTCTTGATCAGGATGACGAGCTGAGTAGATCTGGCCCTGTCCGTCCGTCTGTCCGTATGTATGAACGCGTCGATTTCAGAAGATATACGAGCTAGAGACTTCATTTTTTTTAATGTCCGTATTCACAGCGCGGATATCGAGTTTATCATTAATATCGATAACTCATCCCGATATTTTTATCGATAAAAAACCTTATCGAAACCCAGTTCTAAAATTATACATATCTTCTACACCTTTATTGCTAGTCTCCAAATTTTTAATGTATGCTTATATGCAATTTATGCAATTTCGGTTTTTGTTAAAATTTACCCCCCACCTCTATATCCAACCCATCACTATCATGCAGAGCTTGCAAATGAGAGTTGAGCGTTTTTTCGTTTATTCTCTTTCTCGCATCATACCCAAAAAAAATTTTGTAGGCACGTCTCTCTCTGAGCGTCACTCTCTGTTTTCTTTAGCATCTGTTTCGCTCAGACGCAATGCGATCACTCATTCGTGTGACGCTCTCACATGAGTGCCGCGTAAAACTAACACGATTTTCCCTCACACAAAGCCTCTCAGCAAAAAACACTTTGACTAACAAACTCAGCAGAAAATGTTTTGCCTTCGTGTGCATGTAAATACACGCATACATACATACAAAAAGAACGCAGCAATCGCGCGTGATTACCCATACAAACGCAACTTACCGTTACTTCTTTAACTCAAGCAAACGATCAGTGTTTGACTTGAGGAAACGAAAACAGAAACAACTAACTCCCTCAGAGCGCGAGAGAGCTAAGCCAGACGCGACAAAAACAGTTTCTGTCTGAGTTTTTTTGACTGTGTCACTGAAAGACACTTTTTTGCAGACAACGAAAAAGTGTTAACAGTTATTTGCGAGCTATGCTATCATGTTTGTAAAAAGCGTAATTCAAATACTAGAGATTTGTGCTTTGGCAAATACATGCATATTCATGTTAAAACATTAATCTGAGTTTCATGAAGATCGTATGTCCACAAAAAATGTTATTAAGCAATTAAGTTCTCATAGTAAGCGCAGCCCATGCGTGTTTATGCTTGAGTGTGTGTAAATGTTTGTGTATGTGTGTGTAAATGTTTGTGTATGTGTGTGTAAATGTTTGTGTATGTGTGTGTGTGTGTGCTTGTGTATGTGTATGCCTGTGTGTGCGTGCGTATGTGTGTGTGTGTGCGTGTGCGCGTGTGTGTGCGTGTGCGTGTTTCTTGTGTAAGCAGAAAGACGCGAAAAAGGATTGAAATAGCTATTGCTCCAAGGGTTCAGTGGATCTCGTAGTCGAGCAGTCTCGACTACAGCTTTCTTACTTGTTTTTTGTTATCATACGTATCATATGATGACAATGAAATCAAAACAAAAACTTTGAAGTTGCGTGCAATAGGCAAAGAGAAACAAGTAAGAAGGCTCCAGTCGAGACTGCTCGACCAGTAGATACCCTGAACCCTCTAAGCTTATATTCTAATCATTCTTCTTTTATGCACACATACATACACATGCATACACACGCACGCATAAGCCTGCGCTCTGCTAACTGCGCAGTAAGCAGCGAATGCGCTTGGGCTGCGCAGCAGTGTGGGCAATATTATGAAAATTTAATGGTTGAATACTTTCTTTTGTAGACATACAATCATAATGAATCAGAACGTAATCATATGGTGAATATGTGTGTACATTCCAAAGCACAAGTCTCTAGTACTTGAAATGCGTTTTTACAAATTGAGGGAGAAGGGGGCGTGGTATCCAAAATCTGTAAATTACAAAATCTTCGTATCGATTAACTGTATATACAACGCAAATTTAAAGACTCCAGGTCTAAAGGTGTTCAAATTAAACAAAAAAAATTTTTTTTGTTTCGATTATTCTCGATAAAAAGTTATTGGATGATTGTTGAGCTATCGAGATTTTTCGAATAGCTTTAAATTATTAAACGATTGAATTTACTTAGTGATTAGTTTATTAGCGATTATTAGAGTTTACAGAGTTTATGTGATAGACGCGAGCAAGCGACTAGTCTGTCGTGCTGTCCGCTACTATCTTTGTAATAGTCAATCTAACACTGCATCTGCTCTAAACAAGAGTTAATTGCATACTAACTACAATGTACGCGAGCCGGCGGATTAAGCTGAGCCGGTGCGTGGGTGAAAGAGACAACGCAAAAGGGAGAGCGTGATCTCCGTTACAAATTCTCTTACATGATAACATATTCTATGAACTGCCGCTCTTAATTACAATGAAGCGATGATTGCTGAGCCCAACATCCTCCCCCCGTTGAAGACTTAGTCTTCAACAGAATCCTTAAGGGGCAGCAAGCACAGCTTATTTGTAGCTCTTCTTATCTCGCCAACTTCAGTTTTTAGTAGGGCTACCCGTGCAACGCCATCACTTCCAGGGATAAGTTCGATTATTCTGGCTAGTGGCCACTTAAGTGAAGGTAGATTCTCATCCTTCACAAGAACT